AAAAAAATGAAAAGATAAGGAAATGCAATAATGAAAGTTAAAGAAATTAGGAAGGTGGCGGATTTTAATTAAACTAAAGAAAGAAAGATTATTGAAAAAAGATTAAGAAGTTTAGTTAATTAAAAATTTAATTTTAGATTAATAAAGTAGAGAGAGAATGAGAAAGTGGAGGAGGTTAGATGTCCCATTCACCACCCGGCAAACCGACTTGGAATGCCGCTTTCTTGTCCCCTCCTCACTCCTCTTTTTCTCTCCATCTAATTACCATTCTACCCTTCAACACTTAATCACGTCATTATTACACAGAGGTTATATTAGTCTTTTAAAACAAAAGGATAGAATCGGAATTTAATATTTGCAGACAACCATCCCCTTTCGGGTGGAGCCAGAAAGTGGAATTTTTTTTTAAAGATCCGACTCCCGACAATTGTATATCAACGGTTCATATCCGCTGATTTAAATCGGACGGTTCATAATTATTAACATGATCAAATCTGAACCGTTGGATTAGAATCCGTTCCTAAACAAAAATACGCAACTTTCTCCACTTATTTACTATTCTGCCACTTTCTTTAATTTAATTTTTAATCTCGGCTACGAGTTTCTGGGTGATGATACTTAAGCTTTTTTTCTTTCTGCTTTGCTTTAATGGAAGGACCTTGACACTTCTCTCTCTCCCTTTCTCTTTGCTATTCATCTTCTACAGTTTCGTAAAAATTATTCTCTTCTTCTCCTAAATATCTGTGACTCTAATTTTGATCGTCTTCTTCTTCGTCTTCAGCTTCCATTTTTCCATCAACGATTTGTTTTTCCCTTGAGGTAACTTTTTCTTCTCTGTTTCGAATCCGGTAATTTGAGCTTGATGATGTTTGTGTGTGAATATGTGTGTTAGTAGTTACTAGATCTAGGAGTTATTTAGTTTCTTCGTTTTTTTTTTTTTGGAACTCTTTGAGGTTATTTCTATGGCGAATTTTGGCTTCTGTGAGCTGTTGGCTTAAACCTAGCTGTTGGCTTAAACCTTGCTAGGTTTAGTGATGTGTAGATAGAATTCCGTGGAAGGTGAAATCTGAGATCAGCTTGAAAAATGTATCTCAACGGTTTAGTTTCGTCGTCTGACCTAGAGTTGACTTCTTTTTCTTTAATAGCTTTCCATTTTCTCTTCGTTTTGCTCTAGATTTCGTTTTGTGAGTTTTACCTAGATGCAATCTACTCTAAAACCTAATTGATACGGTTTAGAGTTGCTTCGGATTTTTGTTGAAATTGAGTTCTTGATTCTTTTTGGTAATTTAGGGTTTTGTTTGAGGATTTAATTATGGTTATGTGAATTTGATGTGTAAAAATCATCAGGTAATCACCTTTGCAGTTGAAGAAACCTTAAGTATCCAATGTCTACGGAAGAGGAGCTACAGAGCAATGTCTCTGTGGCAAGTTCTTCACCTACTAGCAATTGTATCTCCAGGAACACTCTAGGTGGACTTAAAGAGCATAACTACTTGGGTCTCTCTGATTGTTCTTCTGTTGGAAGCTCCACTCTCTCGCTCCTTGCTGAAGATGACAAAGCTACTATCAGCCTCAAGGCTACGGAGCTGACACTTGGTCTTCCTGGATCACAATCTCCTGCGAGAGACACAGAGCTTAACCTTTTGAGCCCAGCAAAGCTCGATGAGAAGCCATTCTTTCCTTTGCTTCCTTCTAAAGATGAGATATGCTCGTCCTCGCAAAAGAACAATGCATCCGGAAACAAAAGAGGCTTTTCTGATACAATGGATCAGTTTGCTGAAGCTAAAAGTTCAGTCTATACTGAGAAAAACTGGATGTTCCCTGAAGCTGCAGCCACCCAGTCTGTAACAAAGAAGGATGTGCCACAAAACATACCGAAAGGACAGTCGAGCACTACAAACAATAGCTCTAGTCCACCTGCAGCCAAGTATGACTAGAAAATAGGAGCATTCATCCGATTTTGATATGGATTACTTTCAACAGCTAGCTAACTGGTGTTTTCTGGATTCTGGAAATTTCAGGGCACAAATTGTCGGTTGGCCTCCTGTGAGATCCTACAGGAAGAACACATTGGCCACTACTTGTAAGAACAGTGATGAAGTTGATGGGAGGCCAGGTTCTGGGGCACTCTTCGTGAAGGTCAGTATGGATGGTGCTCCTTATCTGAGGAAAGTTGACCTGAGGAGCTACGCTAACTACGGGGAGCTTTCTTCAGCCTTGGAGAAAATGTTCACCACTTTCACTCTAGGTGAGATGTTTCAGTGATTGCTAGTGATGTGTTTGCAAACCTCTTTCTCTTTATGGATCAATGAATGAGTGCAATCAAAGTGGTTAACCTGCACTGTTTGTTTCATGTTTAGGTCAATGTGGATCTAATGGAGCTGCTGGGAAGGATATGCTTAGTGAGACCAAGCTTAAGGATCTTTTGAATGGAAAAGACTATGTGCTCACTTATGAGGATAAGGATGGGGACTGGATGCTTGTTGGAGATGTTCCATGGGAGTAAGCTTCCTCTCTTATATTCAAAACTTGTTAGAAGCTTTCTCTACTCTCTGCCAGATATCTTAGAATCAAATCTAACATGCTATAGAAGATTAGATCATGGTGATTGGTATAAGCGCTCCTGAGTGATTTCTGATCCGATGTATATTACAGGATGTTTATTGATGTCTGCAAGAAGCTGAAGATAATGAAAGGATGTGATGCTATTGGGTTAGGTAAAGTCTTTTCTTCTCTCTGCTCCTAAGATACAACGTAAACTACTATCTCTAAAACCCATTGCAAGTAGGTTTATGATGAGATTAGTGGTTTGTTGGTGTGAGTTACTTGTAGCTGATTTAGAAAGTTCAATTCATATTTGATCACTTGTCTTCTTTTGGGAGTAAAGACGATAAATTAACATGTAAATATAACGTAATTAAACTGACATAAATAATAGTCGTTATTAGGAGTTTGGTATGGACTTTGAATCTAAAATGTCTTAATGATTCAATGTGGTGAACTGGTGATATTGCAGCTGCAGCTCCGAGAGCAATGGAGAAATCGAAGATGAGAGCTTAAAAGATGGAACATGACAAAGCTTTCTAATTATACAAAATATGTGCGATCTTTTGGTGGTGTTTTTAATTCAAAACATCAATAACTTTAGTTTCTGAGATTTTAAAAAGAAGTAAGACTACGAATGTAAGGAAATGAAGAAGAATTAAAAATGATCTATTTTTGTTGTTGTTTGTTGCTTTAGTCGAACCAGTAAACTGGTCGTTGTTTTATGTTTTGGGTTTGATTTGGATGTGTGGTTGACTTCTATCTTTGAGATATTATTTGATGTAACTCTCTTTTTTTTTTAAAATGTAAATTAATTTGTGATTTTTTAACATGGAGTAGTGTTTGATGCATTTGTGAATTCTTATACAAAATTTTAGAAACCTATATAATATAACAAGAAAGAAAAAAAGAGAAAAAAAAAAAAAGAGAAAAAAAGAAACAAATCAATATACCCTATTCTTAATTAGTTCATTGCTAATCTAATAGACATGATCTACACGCAAACATTGTGACTGATGATAGTGTAGATGATCTACGCGAGGATAGAATCGGAATTTAATATTTGCAGACAACCATCCCCTTTCGGGTGGAGCCAGAAAGTGGAATTTTTATTTAAAGATCCGACTCCCGACAACTATATATCAACGGTTCATATCCGCTGATTTAAATCGGACGGTTCATAATTATTAACATGATCAAATCTGAGCCGTTGGATTAGAATCCGTTCCTAAACAAAAATACGCAACTTTCTCCACTTATTTACTATTCTGCCACTTTCTTTAATTTAATTTTTAATCTCGGCTACGAGTTTCTGGGTGATGATAATTAAGCTTTTTTTCTTTCTGCTTTGCTTTAATGGAAGGACCTTGACACTTCTCTCTCTCTCTTTCTCTTTCTCTTTGCTATTCATCTTCTACAGTTTCGTAAAAAATATTCTCTTCTTCTCCAAAATATCTGTTACTCTAATTTTTGATCGTCTTCTTCTTTGTCTTGAGCTTCCATTTTTCCATCAACGATTTGTTTTTCCCTTGAGGTAACTTTTTCTTCTCTGTTCTTTCTAATCTGGTAATTTTGAGCTTGATGATGTTTGTGTGTGAATATGTGTGTTAGTAGTTACTAGATCTACGTTGTTTTGAAAAAAATTTAGTAGATCTACGAGCTATTGAGTTTCTTCTTCGATTTTTTTCACTCTATAGCGACATCTTGGTTTCTGTGAGCTGTTGGCTAGGTTTAGTATTACTATTAAACCAGTTCTGGTTTTGGCTTATTTAGGATACAAATAAACCCGGTTAAATGCAATCTACTCTAGAATTCTGATTTATATGGTTTAGATATTGAATTTTGGTTGAAAGTGGTGTGAGTTAGATCCCC